GGCAGGAAATCTGGACGAGGAGGAGGAGGAGGAGGAGGAGGAGGAGGAGGAGGAAGAAGAAGAAGAAGAAGATGAAAGGAGGAGGGGGAGGACCCGGAGGAGGAGGAGGGCCTGCCGGGTTTGTATGGCGATGACGAGGAAAAAAAAAAGAAAAACGACGAGGAAGGAGGACGGGAGAGAGAGAGAGAGAGAGAGAGATCCCGCCGACACGTGGCAGGAAATTGGGACGACGAGGACGAGGAGGAGGAGGAGGAGGAAGAAGAAGAAGATGAAAGGAGGGGAGGAGGAGGCGAACAGAGGAGGAGGAGGTTGAGGAGGAGGGGCTGCCGGCTATGTATGGTGATGACGAGGAGGAGGAGGAGGAGGAGGAGGAGGAAGAAGAAGAAGATGAAAGAAGGGGGAGGAGGAGGAGACAAGAAGAAGGCGAACAGAAGAGGAGGAGGTTGAGGAGGAGGGCCTGCCGGCTATGTATTGCGATGACGAGAAAAAAAAAAAGAAAAATGGACGAGGAAGGAGGGGAGAGAGAGAGAGAGAGCGCCGACACATGGCAGGAAATCAGGACGAGGAGGAGGAGAAGGGGAAGGAAGAGGAGGAAGAAGAAGAAGATGAAAGGAGGGGGAGGAGGAGGAGACAAGAAGAAGGCGAACGAGGAGGAGGAGGTGGAGGAGGGCCTGCCGGCTTTGTGTGGCGATGACAAGGGAAAAAAAAGAAAAAAGGACGAGGAAGGGAGAGAGAGAGAGAGAGAGCGCCGACACGTGGCAGAAAATCGGGACGAGGAGGAAGAGGAGGAGGAGGAGGAAGAAGAGGAAGATGAAAGGAGGAGGGGGACGAAGAGGATACTAGAAGAAGGCGAACGGAGGAGGAGGAGGAGGACGGGAGGAAGAGGAGACAAGTAGAAGGCGAACACACACACACGCACACACACACAGAGAGAGAGAGAGAGAGAGAGAGAGAGAGAGAGAGAGAGAGAGAGAGAGAGAGAGAGAGAGAGAGAGAGAGATCCCGCCGACATGTGGCAGGAAATCGGGACGAGGAGGAGGAGGAAGAGGAGGAGGAGGAAGAAGAAGAAGATGAAAGGAGGAGGGGGAGGAGGAGGAGACAACAAGAAGGTGAACGGAAGAGGAGGAGGAGGAGGAGGAGGGCCTGCCGGCTTTGTATGGCGATGACGAAAGGAGGAGGAGGAGGAGGAGCTGCCGGTTTTCTATGGCGATGACGAAAGGAGGAGGAGGAGGATAGAAGAAGACGAAAGGAGGAGGACCAGGAGGAGGAAGAGAGGAGGAGGAGGAGGAGGAGGAAGAAGAAGAAGATGACAGGAGGAGGGGGAAGAGGAGGACCTGCCCGTTTTGTATCGCGATGACAAAAAAAAAAAAAAGAAGAGAGNCAGAAAAAAAAAAAAAAAAAAAAAAAAAAAAAAAGGGAAAAAAAAAAAAAAAAAAGAGAGAGAGAGAGAGAGAGAGAGAGAGAGAGAGAGAGAGAGAGAGAGAGAGAGAGAGAGAGAGAGAGAACTTAGTTCGAGGCGCAGAAAAGAGGGGCACGACTCACGACGGGTGGCAGCGAGGTCGGACACGAGGCGCGGTAGCGAGGTCGACGACGGCTTCGAGGCAGGGCACAGTGAGGGAAGAGGGAGAAGAGAGAGAGGAGGAGGAGGAGAGTTCCCACGAGAATCAATAAAGCGTTAGTCCCTCCTCAAGCCCACTTCCTCCTCGGGCATCTCCCTCTCTTGCCACATCAGCAATGCAGTTCTCCTCTGATGATCTCTGACATATACAATGAGCAGTCACAATAGGGCGCCCATCCTCCATCCACGTCAGCAGCAAACAGGGAGGATAGCACATATCTTCTTCTTGGAGACGAGCAGCATAGCACACACGCCATCACAGGTGAGTTCAGGTAAGCTTCCCTCATCGCACACACCACTCTCACAGTCCCGAACCTCCTCCTCCTCCTCGCCCAATCTGTACACGACGTCTGAAACTATGGCGGGGACGGCCGCTCAAGCAGAATCTTCCCTCTGAAACTGGCGCCCACACAGCAAAGCTGGCTCCACCATAGTCTCCCCACAGCCTCGCAGTGTCGTACTAGCATCAAGCAAGCGCAAGGCAGAACGATCTCCAAGCAGGGGCTGGATCAACTTCACAGTGTCGACACACGTTGACCAGCCTCTGGTCTCCTGGGGTTGACGGCCTGGGTCCATTGGAAGCCAATGGCCTGGCCTGGATGCTGCGCAGTTGCAGATTTCCCGCGTGTCCCACTTGGACTGGAATCTTCTGGATATCCGCGGAGGACCAATGATGTGCATCTGATCTACGGCTGTGGATGACCAGCAGCGGGTCGACTTTGACCTTTGGGCCTGGAATCCCGTGCTGCGGTTGACTGTTGACTTTCCTGAAGTCAACTGCGGCTCGTAGGTCCTCTGATGCTGTTCTGGGCCCAGCTCTGGGTACCCCTGGACCTTAGGCCTTTGCCCAGGCTTTTCTCAGACTCAGGGCGTGACCGTTGACCCCTGTTTTGGGCCTTTGACCAAAAGTGACGATGTATAGCTCACGGTGGATGCAGATTTGAGCTGAGTTATTGCAATCCAGAACAGAACAGGGTTGAATACCTGCGGACCGCGAACCGTTCCACAGCCTACTGGTAGGGCCAACCGGTAGGCGGTCGGAGGGCCATCCACTAATTCTTTCGTTTAAGGGGAAACTGTGGCTGTGACACACTTTTAGTTTGAAATAGGCAAGAAAAGACAAAGTGGCGCCCGTGCCATGGTGTGAGTTTCGAAATGTGCAAGTTTAGTGGGGATCTAGAACTGCACCTGTCATTATTACCCGCAGTGGCGCTTGCCACTTGGCAGATTTAGGGGGGTCGCCCTTTTTACACCATAATTTCGGGAACTTCTAAAGTTGCCCATTCTGAACATTGGGTGTGACTCTGACGTACTTATCCCTTCGTTTAATTAGAGTTTGCGGCTGTACTGAGCTTGCTGAGTACATCCCAAATCCGCCGAGAAACTTCTGTTTTGGGGAAGGGGGTTGGAGAGGGGGGGGGGGGTACGGTGATCCCACTTTTGGGGGGGGGGGTATGGGGGGGTATTGCAGGCTGGGGAGGGGAGAAGGTGATCCCACTCTTTTTTTCTTTTTGCGGACCAGTGGTTGCTGACTGGTTAATCTGTCGGCTGGTCAGTCGTCGACTAATCGAGGGGTGGCGACCGTCGGCGTGACTACTCTGATCCAGAATCTAATGATCATCCCTAATAAAGATCAATGGATGATTGATGCAGAACCACGTAAAGACTCGTCATCGGACTCCCCACCATTGATGGTGCTCCATCTCCCCCTTCCTTGCATCGCGATCCCAGTCTATCTCTCCGCACCCGTCTTTCCTTACTCCTTCCAGCCAGAGAAGGCAAAACAACCAGCCAGCAACCCATACGCACCTAGCTCCTCAGCCCTCTTCCCCAGTTTCCCCCCTCACCTTTCAAATGTATGCTATCCCTTCCCCCCCCCAAATACCTCCCCCGCCCCCCTCTGAACCCTCCTCCTCCTCACGAAGCAGCGGCGAGAGAGGAAAAATCGGAAGGACGAGGAAAGCGGGGACCAGAATGGGCGGACAGGGAAAGAATACCTCCAGATGAAAGAGGGGAGGGGGATAGTGATACCACGGAGGAGGAAGCTATCAGACAAAAGGGGCAAGACGACACTACAATACTCTCTACAATAACCATCCTCCTGTATTTCTAAGTGCTGCATATGAATTATTCAATTTATTGTTGTTTGATGATGATTACGATCTTGAACAGACGACCAAGCTGCAACCCCACTGCTGCCTCCGAATATCCTTTTCTACTTTTAGTCCTCGATGGAACCTACGTAGTCGCCCAACCAACGGTTGGAACTTCGAACTACAGTATCTATCCAGTTTGACATGTCAGCATGAGCCGAGCCGTTGCCCGATGCGCCGCTCTGTGGGGACGTGGCAATTCGCTCTTTGTCGATCCCAAGAGTCCCCGATCAAGGGGAGGGGCTGACATGTCTTTGTGTGTCATAGTACCTCCACATTGCCGCATGCATGCTATCTTTTAAAATTCTGTGAGGGAAAGTGGTGCCTGAGCGAAGCGTGGAGCTGTCGTGGCCTTGTGCATCATAGTACCTCCAGATTGTCACATGCATGCTATCTTTTAAGTGCTGTGCGGGAAAGTGATGCCCGAGCGAGGGGTGGAGCTGTCGTGGCTTTGTGTGTCGTAGTACCTCCACGTTGTCACATGTATGCTATCTTTTGAATGCTGTGAGGGAAAGTGGCGCCTGAGCAAAGGGTGGAGCTGTCGTGGCTTTGTGTATCATAGTACCTCCAGATTGTCGCATGCATCCTATCTTTTAAATGCTGTGCGGGAAAGCGATGCCCGAGCGAGGGCTGGAGCTGTCGTGGCTTTGTGTGTCAATAGTACGTCCACGTTGTCGCATGCATGCTATGATTGCTATCCCTAAATGCTGTGAGGGAAAGTGGCGCCTGAGCGAAGGGTGGAGCTGTCGTATCATAGTACCTCCAGATTGTCGCATGCATGCTATCTTTTAAATGCTATGCGGGAAAGTGATGCCCGAGCGAGGGCTGGAGCTGTCGTGGCTTTGTGTGTCAATAGTACCTCCACGTTGTCGCATGCATGCAATGATTGCTATCCCTAAATGCTGTGAGGGAAAGTGGCGCCTGAGCGAAGGGTGGAGCTGTCGTGGCTTTGTGTATCATAGTACCTCCAGATTGTCGCATTCATGCTATCTTTTAAATGCTGTGTGGGAAAGTGATGCCCGAGCGAGATCTGGAGCTGTCGTGGCTTTGTGTGCCAATAGTACCTCCAGTGGCCTCCACGTTGTCGCATGAATGCTATGATTGCTATCCCTAAATGCTGTGAGTGGAAGTGGTGCCTGTTTTCTGTGGGTGAATAGGTGTCTAAGGTGAGAGGTGGAAACTGCTTCCCATCGATGTCTGTCTGTCAGTTGCGTCAAATTGCCATTACGGGCTACCTTCTTCCGCCCGACTACAACGTAGATTCATTTTATCTGTATTTAGACTGAAAGATACCCCAAATGCAGGTATAATGACCGTACGTTGTATGCGGGGGAAGAGGTAGTCACTGTCGACCTACTCGTCCGTCTCACTTCTTTGTCTCCTGTTATATCTGGAACCTTGGAATGTCTGGTAACTTTTCAGAGACCTTACGTTGCAAGCGGGACTTTGAGGGACCAAGTGAGGTACCCCACTCCCCCGCAAAGGTTGATGACAATGGTGAATAGGCGATACCACTCTTCACGGCGCCGATCATCGACTGCTGCTAGCTTTTCTTCTGGCTCTTTAACAGAGGAGGAATTTGACAAGGCTGATGACCGGAGAGTCTTGCAAGCACTGGAAGCGACAGAGATTGCGTACTTGGTAGACAGAGGGAGGGGGCTCGACCAAGTGCAGGTACGGAAGGAAGACATAAGGCGCCAGCCTGGTTGGTATTCACTAAGGCTCAACAGTGAAGTCCATTCCATAACAAACATTGAATATGTCGTTTTCTAACCAATGCCCGAATCGACCGTCTCCTCCGGGATACGGGGCCCATCTTGTACTCGTGTTGCATCACAAATCCAACGGCACAAGACTACAGTTAAGAGATATGGTTGCTCAAACTTCTCGCATTGATCTGCCGGTTCCTCCCACTGTCCTTCTATGGTACACCCTTTCCCTGATCCCCTCCCTCTCTCTCCACCTGCTCTAGGTCACCTAGCCGACACCTTCTTATCCCTATGTCCTTGAACCCTGTTCTTGTCCATTGTTCCTTTGTTTCTCCATGAAGTTCTCAGCACATCTGTTCGCCCGTCTGTGAGTCTGCTTGTCCGCCCAGCTGCCCGCCCACCCACCCACCCACTCCCCCGCCCTCGCCTGGCCTGTCCACTGTCCATCTATGCCATCTGTCCATCCGTTCCATCGGCCTGTAGGTCCCTTCAGTCTGTACGCTCGTTCACCCCGTCGGTTTGTCAGTTCCTTCAACCTGTCTGGCTGTTCATACATTCTCCATCTATCTCCATCTGTCCCTCTGTCCGTCCCTTCATTGGTCCATCATGCCTCCATCCATCCACCCCTCTCCCCTTCCCTCCCTCCCTCCCTCCCTCCCTCCCTCCCTCCCTCCCTCCCTCCCTCCCTCCCTCGACGCCTCAACCCTTCCATCCTCCCTCCATCCTTCCATCCCTCCATGCAAAGTGGCAATAATGGCATAAAAGGTTTTCTTCTACTTCAGTAGACCCCCATTCCCCCCGACCTCATCCCCCCATTTCCCCCCCCCTCATCCCCGCATTCCCCTCACTCTTATCCCCCAATCCCCCCATTCCTCCCCCCCCCCCGTCCCTCCATAACCCCATCCCCCCTTTCCCTTCATCCCCCCATCCCAGCTCAGTCTCAGAAAGGGCCTAGGGACAGTCGAAATGTTTGTCCGTCGCAGCAAGGCCCAACAGGGACCAACAGCTCCAGCCAGTGGGCGGTACGTGCATGCACAAAAAGGGAGGCCGCAGCCAGGAACCTCCTCTTCTCTGGTTCTGGCTTAGGTGGAAGTGCGGCTGCGTTATTGTGTGCCAAGATCCTGGGCACACAAACAGTGCCTGGCGAGGAAGCTGGTTGACAGCGCTGGGCACCGTAACTGTAGGGTAGCGTAGTCGTGAGCGGTGGGATGAAATGCGATGGATGAATCGAATGGAGGGATGGGATGGGATGAGATCGGATGAGATGGGATGAGATGCGATGGATGAATGGATGGCTGGTGGGAGGGCTGGAGGGAGGGCTGGAGGGATGCAGGGATATGGGGATATAAAGGTGTTGGCTAGGTGAACTAGAGCTGGAGGGATGGAGGGATATCTCAATTATGACCTGTGAAATACCTACCAGAGCGTTCCTCTGATGCAAAAGAAAATGGGACGTGCTACTGGGGCCTGACTGCTGAGGGACGTGAATCCTTTCAGACAAGAGGAAGAAGAAGAAATGAAGAAGAAGAAGAAATGAAGAAGAAGAAGAACGCAAGCTTGCACCGATGTCATCCTTCATCATCTCAGACCATTTCCAAAGCCATCTAAAAAATCTCATATCTCATTCCAAACCCCCCCAACAGTATCTTATCAGTCATACGAGATTAGGATCTGGACAAATATAGGAAAAAAAAAAGAGAAAAAAAAAAAGGAAAAAAAAAAGGAAAAAAAAAGAGGAAAAAAAAAGGAAAAAAAAAAGGAAAAAAAAGAAAAAAAAAAGGAAAAAAAAAGAAGGAATCTGGTCACTAGAACCCACACTTCTCAGACTGAAAACTGTGCACATCGTTGTTGGATCATCTCAACAAAACGGCCTTCCTTGTCTGCAATAGGATTAAAGGCTCAAAGGCTTAAAGCTGCTTCAATTATGCATCTACTCATCTGGGTGGAATAGGGGATGTTGTGGCGAAAATTTAAAACACACAGAGGGAATGTATGCTTGGAGTTTTGGCGATAGCATCTTCACGAGGAGGGTCAGAGAGTGTTTGTTGTGGGTGTCATTCCCATGGGCTGCTCTTTTGGAGCTCATGGAAGAAACAGGGACTTCCAGGGTGTTTTAAGCAGTAGTGCTCCTGTTGTCGCGTGAAGATCTTGTGGACTTTGGGGTTATGGTACTCTATACACTCCAGAGGCCAGATAGCAAATGGGGGATGTCCAGCCATCATAAGCCATGGAGTGATAGAGATGGTGGTGAGGTGAGTGGGTCGTTTGGGATGAATAGCAGTGCCAGTGGTGTTGTGCTTGTGGGCTGACTCGGAGGGCTCTCCCAGTCTTTTCGGACTATGGGTGGGTCTGGTCGGTGCTTTCTTGCGCCTGGAGCCTTTTTGTGTTAGGTATGTTGCTTCTTGCCCTTGACCTTTTTTATAGATTGAAAAAAGTTCAAAAAACTATGTATATCTGTGCAAGTGTGAAAACTATGTATATCTGTGCAAGTGTGAAAACTATGTATATCTGTGCAAGTGTGCCGCTTTGGCGGAAGAGGGTTGTGTGGGCACTTCCTGTATAACCACAAGAACGTGTGGGCCACAAAAACGTGGGCAACCTTGCACCTTCTATTATAATGCCTGCCTAGACTTCTTTTTGTTTTATGGATGGTTTATGACAGTGCTGCAAACCCGGTAGGACCGGGGCCCTCTCCCCCAACCGGAACCGGATCGGTCCTACCGGCTGGTCGACCGGGCCAGTTCCCCCCAGTTGGCTGTAGCGCATCCAATCTCGGGGGTCTTACCGTTTTTTTGGGGGGCCAGGAGGCCTCGTGGGCCAGTAAAATTCATATCGGGTCCGGTAGTCCCACCCAAAACATTGGAAAGGGCGGCCTATCTGGGCCGCCGATGAGAGAGAGAGAGAGAGAGAGAGAGAGAGAGAGAGAGAGAGAGAGAGAGAGAGAGAGAGAGAGAGAGCCCTGTGTTCCAATCTGTCGCTTGTGAGTTTGCGTACTATGTGGTTGGTTGCAGGCTCTGGAGCTCTGGCAGGTGAAGAGGCTGTGCTACCTCATTTGCTCTGTTCGTTCCCATCGTGAGATTTATGAAGGCTTACTAGTTGGGATTGCAATGTGGTGGGTGGTTGTATGCCTGGTCAGAGCTGGGAGGAGACATTGTCTGGTGGGGAGAGACAGCGACTTGCAATTGCACGTGTTCTTTACCATAGGCCAAAGTGAGTTTCCTTTTCAACTTTTTCTTAAAAATCCCACCTGCATTCTGGCAAGGAAAGGAAACAGGGGAAAAGTTGGAAAACAGAAAAAAAAAAAAAAAAAAAAAAAAAAAACAGGGAAAGGAAAAGGTAATACAGCCAATATAATCACATGGACTGATCAAACTGGAGAGTGGTGTGAAGTTTTTACCCTTGCCCCTTGAGATCATTCCCACTCCGGCGTGTGCTTGTGGAGTAGTTCCGAAATTCTCTAGAAGTGATTAAGACGGTAGAGGCCGATAAGCCTCATCGGTGCAGACCCCCCCCCTCCCCTCTCCATCCACCGTCCACGTACAGAGCGAGATTACGCACTACGTAACTGTGCCACACTCTCATCTTTCGGCCTCTACCATCTTCACCCAAAAAAGAACGTACGGTAAGTTTTGCTGCATCTGGACTGAAGGTTGTGCCAAAGACAGGCAGAATGACCGTACGGTTTATTTGGGGAAGAAAACGTTAATGTCTAAGGCTCTAAGCCTCTGGCATTTTTTTATTGATTTGGTGGGAATTCGTTAAATGTGCTTAACAGTTAACGCGACATGTCTCCCTGTCAATTTCCACTTTCAGCTCATCTTGAACCCTCGATCAGGTCTGCAGGGTAAGTACCGATAAGTGCAGCATGATGGTTTGCTTTTACACTTTTGCACTTTTTTCTCACCAATACTGCAGTCGCATGTAATGTAACTGTTTAGCGAATCTCTTGAGTTCTGTGTGTTTGCATTGCAGCTTCTGTGAAAGTTAGGTGAGCTAAATCTATGAACAAGCAGCGGCATCAACTCCATCGACTCCATCGACTCCATCGACTCCATCGACTCCATTCATAGAGTACCTGGTTACCAGCCTTAAACCACCAGTACATGACCCAAGGCAACTGGAGAGCCTGTTTTGTTTAGGGCATCTCTGAAAATTTAGGGGGCCGATCACCGTAAGATAAAATGAATCGGCGGTGGGCGGCCTCCAAAAGGGGGGCCCACAACCAATAGCTGTTATGTACTGGTGCGTTAACTTTTATTTTTTCCTGAGTGCACAAAAACAGCGTCGCCATCGAGATCCAATCTCAGTTTCAGCGTGTCGACTCTCGGGTTGAAGCCGTAATCCGATCACATCCGATGCCATTAGGAAACTACCTTCACCCACCAAATACATCATATTGTCATTATTGCTGTATTTAGACTGAAGGATATCCCAAATACAGCAATAACGACGCGAGCAGGTGCTGGGGTGTTGCCCTGTAACCTTCTGATGCAGGAGCGTGAGGCCTGGTCGAGAGATCTGGGGATGCTTTGGGGTGGGGGTGGGCATCCCAAGGGACAACCAAGGGTTGCTGCTGGGACGTCGCTGGTCGGAGCTGGGGCGAGTTGTGTTGCCCTGTAACCCAGCAGGGTGGGGGCGTGAGGCCTGGAAGAGCTCAGCAGGGAGTAAGACTGTGTTGGAAAGTCTTAGAAGGGCTTGTTAGGGATCCTGAGGGTTGTGAGCATTCGTAGGACCTCTGTGACAGCCCCTTGCATGAGTAGTTCCTTAATAGGTCATTAGATATTCATGATCCTCCCCATGCCAGTTTGCCAGTTTAGCCTTCCTGTGTTAGGTTGATCATTGTTTGGTTAGGATCTTTTATTTTTATTTTTCGGGGAAACAACGACGGCCGCGGCAGGTTTTCAGTTTCAAAAGGCGAAAAAAACAACAACAATAAGTAGCATCTGGGTCACGGCGCGAGTTGCAAAAGGGCAACCCAAGAAAAAAAACAGCGGTATGTTTTTTTTTGCCTTTTTTAATTGCCAGCCCTCTGCACACCGCGGCACGCCCCTGCTGTTCTGAAGTACCGTGCCTGCCTGAACCGCCAGCTTGCGTTTTGACTCCCGTTTTGAACTTAGGCCATCACAGAGGTGCCCGATAAGAGTTTTAAAGTTTTTTTTGCCTATTTGAAAGTCGATTCTTGACCGAGGCGTACTTGCTGCTTTTTCTGACAAGAACAAGGAGTCCAGCTGGAGCATTGTTTGCCCAGGATCTCGAGGACATTCAGGACTACCGGTAGTGTTTCAGAGTAGCCTTGGCCTGGGCCGCCTGGCTGGAGGATCTGGGTGAAGCTAGGGGGGGCAGGGGGAGGGAGGGGGGTGGGGGGGGGGCGGGCTGCCCCGATTGATTACCCTGTGACAAGAAACGGGGGGGGTGGGGGGCTTTTTTTTTTTTTTTTTTTTTTTTGGAAAGTGAGAAAATTTTGCACATACTGAGATGTGCCCAAATCCGGCCTTATCATTGAAGTTGGTGATGTCTCACCAAAGGGTGTCTATGGGGAATAAAACCGGGGTTTGAAGGGGGGCTTAAAAGGGATTAATTAAACTTTGTTAAAGGCATGTGAGTCACTGTGAGGCTCTTTTTTTATTTTTTTGTCAGTGAGACAAATTTGCACATACTGAGATATGCCCAAATCCTTGAAATCCTGCCTTATCTTTGAATTTGGTGATGTCTCACCAAAAGGTGTCTATGGGGTATAAAACCAGGGTTTGAAGGGGCCTTAAAAGTTTAAATGGATGAATTAAACTTCATCAAAGGCATGTGAGTCACTGTGAGATGAATCAATGTGTTGTTTCTCTTTTCTCATTTAAATTTTCAGAATGAATTTTGCCCAGCCAAAAGTTGCTTGATTTGGAATCCTGCAGACCATGAATAAAAATTCAAAAATGACAAAATGTTGAATTTGAAAATAATCGTCTTTTCTTCGTTTTTTTCTTTTCCCGTAATCCTGTCTAAATTATAGTGAATGGAATTAGTCCCCTTTGGATCGGTGCTGTCATCTTGTGTCTTTCTCAAATACAAGGCAGGGAACGCATATTACTTCGAGAGTCAAGACCCTTGAGTCTTCGAAAAAGCCGAAAAGTTTTTCATAGTCAATTGAGAATGTTCTCAATCTTCAAAATGAATCCCCGGAATCAATATGTGATATCTTAATTTCTTTGTTTAGCTCTAGTCCGAGCGTACTGGCAAGTACTATAGCTCCAATCATGGCCACTAATAAAATAAGACTTGAAACCAGAAACAAATAAAAATAAAGTAGATTTCCTAAAGTAGATTTCCTAAAGCTGAGGTGCGAAAGCATGGGGAGAATTAAACCACCAGTACGTTTCTTACCCATCCATTTTTTCACCAGCGAACAAAAAAAGGACCCCTGCGCATGTTCATTTTATTTTTTTTTGGTGGCGGCGCAATTCCAGCCCTGGAGAAAAAGTGCCTTCGAAGTACTGGTGGTTGTTTGTTTAAACCACCAGTACTTGGCCCAGCTATCAGCCGCGGGAAAGAACAAAGTAGAAATGTTTCTAGTCGGATGAATTGGGGCGCTCCTGTAGTGGCCCGTACGTTTCCTAAAATCGTGGCGCGTTAACGGACACACAACTTTAGGAAGTACTGGTGGTTCAAGGGTGCGAATCGACCACGGACACCCCAGAGGGGAGGAAGAGTGCAATGCTCAAGGCTAGACACAGAGCACTTTTAGCTCGACGGGTCTCGACCCACTTGTGCTGGATTCGTCCCGTTAGAGACGCATGCCTGCTTACAGCCCTCTGTACCTAATCTCCAAACATGGTCCGAGGCATCCACTTCACTTGCTAAGCAGTTAGTCTTACCTCCTTAGTTATCCAGTGCATGCAATGCACAGCACAATTAACATACCTTTGTTGGGCAGCTAAGAACACCGACTCATCCCCTTCTGGTGATTTTATTTAAGCTTGGTCCCTCTCCAGACCAAGCTTGGCCCCTCTCCAGATAGTAGATACCCTCATCCATATCCTCAGTTGCGGTCTGGGGGCGGTAGGATGGACTGGAAAGTGCATGTGAACTTCGAGAAGGTGAGCTTTTGTAATGACATCCCCCTGCTTCCTGTTGTTTTTTATGCTCCTTACTTATTGGCGATTGCTCTGTGCTTCACACTTCGCCATCTCTTCCCTGTCCTCCCTCCCTCCCTCTCTCCCTCCATTTTTTCTGTGTCAGGTATGCAGTTTTGGATGAATGCACATCTGCTGTGAGCGCCGATGGTGAAGCGAAACTGTACGAGAGGCTACAAGATGCGAAGATCACATTGTTTTCAATTGCGCACAGACCTGCGCTTAAAAAGTACGTGGACATAATACAAATTTGACTTCTGCGCGTTAGGGTATTTATTCAAAGATTGATATGCCTTGGCATAATGATTAGAGTCCAACTGCTAGTTTTCGTCGTTGCCGCCCCCCTGTTTTCCCCTCCCACACTCCCCCCCTTTTCATTTTTTTAATTAGAAAAAATGCGGAACAGCTGTATTCACTACGCTATTCTCTTCTCTGAAGTTCTCTCAATATTTTCCACCCCTACACACCTTCTCCTGACTGACCTCACAATGTCTAGAACGCAGTACTCAGTTAGTGGTGCAATGTCTGGTGATCTATGTACAAGAAGCGAAGCATACCAAGGATCATGGGTCTCCGGGCAAGTTCCCTACCGTCGCCATATTTGGCACAACTTTCAGTCCAGATGCAGCGAAAATTATGGGGCATTTTATTTGGGTGAAGACGGTAGTCTACCCTAGCTTATCATCATTCGGCCTGGCTTCACCACTGTCGAACTGGAAAAAGTACCAGTTCATCTTCCACAGAAACTGGCAAGATGCATCCGTTGCTATAAATAGTAATGGATGCATCTGGCCACTTTCTCTGGTGCACTCGTACTTATTCTCGTTTCAACAGCGGTGAGGCGAGGCCGAATGATTAAATAGCAAGTTGCAAAACTAATCTATTTTCTTCTCTCAATTTCACGGTTTCACCTTTCACTGGCTACCTACCACTTCTCCTAAGCCTATACAAGGGACTCCCCTGCAAGTCACAATTAAGGGGGGATGGCTAAGCCTATACAGGGGACCCTCCTGCAAGCATAGCTACCACTCACAATTAAGGGGGGATGCATGTTGTCCCCCGCCCTAATCAGCGGTGGTCGATCTGCATTCAGTTTCGTTGAAGCTAGAAACGGCCGGTATCTATGGGCTGGGCCCATGGAACATTCGCCAGAGGATCTTGGCCCTTCGTGGATGTAGATAGAAAGGAGGGTGGGAGGGATGCAGGGAGGGAGTTGTTGGGGGGCGGGGGGGGGTCGGCGCTGCTGCAGGGTGAGAGAGAGGGACAGGTGGGGGGAGTTGGAAAGAGAGGAGAGGACAGTTTGACTTTTGGCGATCCGACCACCTCTGCTCACAGTGGGCCTCTCAAAATGGTCTTGTCGAAATTCAGTACCGTCTGCACCCAGTGCCTGCGAAAAAAACAAAACAAAACCAAAAGAAAAGAAAGAAGTACCTGCTTGTCACAACCAAGTCAAAATGACATTTAGGCATTCATTCAAGTTATTTGTTTTCATGCGGTGCCTGTCGTCCATCTCTCCAGATCCTGTCATTGAGGAGGATGTGGATGAATGCATCTGAGTCAGCAAGCATTTTAACTTTGAAGCATGGAACACCAGTGCCTTCAACATTGGTGGTGGTGGGGGGGGGGGGGGGGGGTTTTTCCTGGGGGGGGGGGGGGGGTTGTCAAGTTGGGGGGGGGGGGGGTAATTCGTGTAGGGTGCCTGCAGGCTGTGGATACTGTGGAGTCACTGAAGATCTTGAGAGAGAATCGCCCTCTGGGAAAGATGTGCCTATAGAATGATCATGCTTAGGAGGACGAGAGAAGCAGCAGCAGGTGGAGGAAGAGGACGAGGAGGAGGAGAAGAGGGAGGGGGAAGGAGGAGGAGGAGGAGAGGGTTGGGGGAAGGAGGAGGAGCAGGAGAAGAGGTTGGCGGAAGGAGGAGGAGAATACGAGGGAAGGGGAAGGAGAAGGAGAAGAAGAGAGAGGGGGCAGTAGCAGGAGGAGAAGATGGATGAGAATGGCGGGGGAGAGGATGATGGAGGAGGAAGAATGGTGAGGGAGAACGAGGAGCTGGAGTAACAAAATCTCTAGAGTACTGAAGAGGAGGAGGAGAAGAAGAGGGTTGGGGAAGGAGGAGGAGGAGAAGAGGGAGGGGGCAGCAGCAGGAGAGGAGAACAAGGAGCCGGGGTAACACAGTCTCTTGAGTCCTGGCCACATATCTGGCAGAAAAAAGAGGAGGAAGAGGATATAAGCAGCAGGTGGTGGACGAAGAAGAGCGAGGGGGAAGGAGGAGGAGGAGGACATGAATGGGGTGGGAGAAGTAGGAGAAGAAGAAGTGGACGGGTAAGGAGGAAGGACGGGAAGAATCAGTAATAGGAGCAGAAAGTGGAGGAGAATGTCGAGGATGAGGATGATGGAAGGAGGAGGAAGAAGAAGAGGGGTACTACCTAGGGGAGAAAAGAAGGACGAGTGGGGAAAGGAGGGAGGGATCCAGACTAACGAAAGCTCATAGTGGGGCCCACATCTCTGGCATGAATACAGTGAGGAAGACGAGAGCAGCAGCAGCAGGTGGAGAGAAGAGAGGACGACGACGAGAGGAAGAGGGAGGGGGAAGGAGGAGAAGAAGAGGGAGGGGGAAGGAGGAGAAGAAGAGGGAGGGGATGGAGTGAGAGGGGAAACAATCAATACTAAGAGGAGAAGAGGGCGGAGAGCGACGAAGATGAGGAGGATGATGCAAGGAGGAAGAAGAAGAGGGAAACTAGGGGAGAGCAGAGGTAGAAATGAGGAAAGAAGGGATGGATCTCTGACTATCAAAAACTGTAGTGGCCCCACTTGTCTGGCAAAAATACCTGGATGTACCAATATGGGGCCTTGAAGTACAGGGTTGAATTATTTTCCCGAATCGGTGTTTAAAAAGGTAATTTGAAGAAGAGAATGGGAGGTTTAAAAACGTAACGCAATCCGTTTACAATTCGTGAGAGGGGCGCCAGTCAAGGCAAGTTAGTTCGTTTTGAAAAAAAAAAAAAACCAAGGTTGTCTCAGGACCTCGAGAAGGAGGGGAATGCAGTAAGAGGAAGGGGAGGGAGGAGGAGGGGAAGAACCGATAGCAGGAGGAGAAGGATGCCAATGAGGGTGATGGAGGGAGTAGGAAGAAGAAGAAAAAGACCAAGAGAGAAAATAAGGCAGAATGATGAAAGAAGGGAGGCATACATGCAGGGAGGGAGGGTGGGCGGGTGGCAGAAATGCAGGTAAGAGTGGCTACAAGGCAGGGGAAAAAAAAAAACACTACTGGCAGTTCAACCTGCAAAAATACAAGGAGGATATATTGGTAATTTTAACTAATTTACTAATTTGGTAATATGGGCTCCTTCAGAACACACTGCACAGTTCAATTCTCTGCTGGAATTGAGCTGACCAGCCCACCAGGTAAATTCGGAGTTTTTTTCACTCGTCAGGTCTGCATTTCAACAGTTTGTAACTTTGTAGATGTAAAAAAAAAGAAAAAGAAAAAAAAAGAAAAAAAAAAAGAGAAAAAAATAAAATAAAATCCTTTCTAGATGTACTAACTGAGCTAGGCCAGCTGGTAATTGCCTATCCTAACTATCCTTCCTTTTTAAGCAAGCATCCCATGCCATGGTGTGTTTTCCTCGTCAACGGATTGCCTGATGTTGTATTTCTATTTTACAAGTTGACATGCAATGCGCATCAATGTATACAGGCTATGAAACTGACCAGATGCACTCTCTGGATATGTCATCGAAACAAGCGGCACACAAAGCAGTTATCAGATTTGCCCCCTGGGGAGTGCTTTTGGTGCTACCCCTTCGAAAATAGAAAGGCTACCTTTCCTCTTTTTTTTTCTTTTTTTTTTTCTTTTTAAAGCTTGTTTTTTTTTTGTCGTTTTTTTTTTCGGTCTGATACATCCCTATCTGCAGTTTTCATCGTTTTTCCCCCCTTAACCCTAAATACGCCTGAGAAGCAGGAAACACTATGCTCACAATTGTAGAGGTGTGGTCTCATAACAGGTACCACTCATCAATTCTCGTGTTTGAAGGAAGCCAGATGGGTCATGGATGGAGGTTTGAGAAGATGCAGGCAGAGCAACGGCAGGATGGAGAATGCCAAGAAAAGGCAAATGGAGTGAGCAGCAAGCATGAAGGGAGCTAACCAGCGGATGAGATTGTCATTGACGGCACCAAGCGTGAGAGGCCAGGTCTGGCTGCCTCGAGAGCCATGAGGGAGGACGAGGAGACATGAGCGAGGAACAGGAAGAGAAGAGAAAGGTGAAGAAGAGGCTGCAGGAGAGGGCGTGATGCCGACCTCAGTCAGTTTCAGAAATGCGACATTCTGTTGTTAGGGATGTCCATGTTGTTCTCATTGTTGATCAATTGGCAGGCAGGCAGGTTACACACACACACACACACACACA